GCACCAATAAGAATTCACCACGAACTAAATAAAAGATAATTGAAAACTAGATTGACCCTCAAACAAATTAGAATGCGAGACGTATGGGAAAGGAGGTGTGATGTAATCTTGGAGTGAATGAACACTGAAGGAAACCTGAAAGAGGCGATGAAGCTGTGAAGAGATTGTAAAGTGGTTGAATGCGAAGAAAAGGTACGTGAATGCCTGTGAAGAAAAGGAATTATTGAAAGACGCATTCAGAAAGCAGGTCAGAGAAAAGTCGCAATCGAAGCGTGATATCAGACCTGAAGGAGATATAAATGAAGACTGAAGAAGGCGTAAAGGAGGTGTGAAGGCTCCGGAAAACGCGCCTCGGTAAATTCGTTCCCGGAATATTCGCCCCCAAAAGATTCGTTCTCGGAAAATCCGTCCGCTAAAGATTCGCACACGGAAGCTTCACTGCGCTCTAAGAAAACTCGTCTCTGGGTCTGGGGTTTTTGGTCCCAGAAGATTTTTCCTCGGAAAATTCGCCGGAAGTATGTTCTTAGGTGGGAACTTAACCAAATCGTCTTACCACTCCGAAAAGTAACGTCACTACCGTGGATGCCACGCCAATTTCCGTAGGGGCTGCATTTCAAAACCACCTAACCAACCCATACCCATGTTTGGACCAAGGGCGGAAATCAAGTTTGGTTAGCGTATTTTTTAAGAATTAAAAAAATTGTAATGCCCTTAAAAATTGTTTGTGTTTAACACTTCCCGGAAGGAATCTTCCAGGGGCGAACACTCTGGAGGTGTAATATTTCATAGGCGAATCTCCCGAGGGAGAATTGACCAGAGGGACGAATCTTCATACTATCGATGGTTTCATTATTGAACCCAAATGACAATATAGCGCATAAAGTAACTGTAACCCCCGTAAACTTAAATCTAGCGAGACCTTTATGGAGAAACCTACCATTTCAAACAGGTTTTGCATAGCAGTTAGTTCAGAGACGAGTTTCTAAGGAATCATCTGTTAAAGTCGATCATGATTCCCTTTTGGAGCGAGTTCCCGGCAAAGGAGTATGTATTCCGGCGGTGTGAATTCCACATGAACAGAATGTTCGGAGATGAATCTTCTGGGCGAACATTCCGATGGCGAATTTTCAGGGGTGAATCTTTCGGGGAGAATATTCTTTGTAGTCCAGTAAAATTTTGAAAGCTTTGGGCAGCATCCTGCAGCTGTGGATTGCTTTCCAGGGCTTTAACAAACTTCGAATCGAGGATAGGGGTTCGAATTAGTGAACAATTCGAAGGGAAAACTTCAACTATCGATTCTATTGACAATTGACTTGACCTTGACTTGACAAAAAAGCACCTACCTCTGAAATTAGTGTACACTTACAACAGTACAGCAGTTTACATTGGAACAAAGGGTTTCAAACCCATTAAGTTCACTTACATCATGTATTTGTAACTCAAGTAAAAATACATTACCAATAACCGGAAAACACGCTAAAGCGTATTACACCTTCAATTTCGAGTGGCGCTTTTCGCCCATGTCCATTTGCGATGCTTTACTGCACGTCGGACGTGCTTGGAAATTTATCCGACATCTTCTAATTGCCATTCTTTGGACGAAATCCATTTTCGCCAAAAATATATATTCAAGTAATAGAAACATCGCAGCATACGCGGAGGGTGATAAATCTCAAACTTCGTTCATTAATATTACATGAGCTCAAATAATTTCTACGTTTTCATATTTGACGTATAAATTTATGATAAAACTTGCAGATACAAAAATATGGTTTTCCACAATTTGAGTATCAAAAAGCTACTTCATTTCGTACATGCAAATCTAAGAGGGAGCTTTAAATTTGGTTCCTCAAAGAGACCATTTCTTTTCACAAACAAAATTCGTAGAGAAATTTACGTTTGAACCGGTTCTACAAGAGCCAAAGCTTTAGAAACGTATAATGAAAGTGTAGAAGTAATTACTTCCAAAATTAATTCCCTTCACGAGCAAGAGTTTTATATGTTCTCGCCAAGTTTACGATCTACAGTAATTGTTAATAATTAACAAACGGGGCTAATGTAATTTTGTTATCGACAGGTACATGCCGCATCAGCAACCCCACATAATGACGTTTCCTGTATCCGGCGTTCATTTGGCCCCTCAAAACACTGATTGCGATCGAATACATTGTAAGGTTCAACTAACCAAACTCACGAGGCATCACAGCGATGGAGCTTATCGTTGCGAAGTGTCCAGTGAAGCACCTACATTCCGTCTCGCTGCTGAAACCCACAATATTACGGTAGCAAGTAAGTTATTTAGTAAATCCTCAGATACGTTTTCTATATATATAAAACGACGAACTCTCTTTTTCTCTCTCTCCCCTTCTTTGGCGGTAATTTCGGCTTCCCTTGCAGCTTTACCAAAGGAAAAACCACGAATACTGGGATTGGAAGAAACGTATAATGAAGGGGATATTTTATCCGCAAATTGTACGTCTTCTCCATCCGATCCCGCTGCCATCGTTACATGGTTTATCCACAATCAACCGGTGAGTTATTATTTAAAATATATCCACAATATAAACAATTAAAACTTGTAAAGCACGTTTTACATGTTGAAAGTTAATTCTTGAAAGCCGAAAGTGAAATAACTTCCCGGACATTTTTGAAGTGGCAGATGCCCTTTACATTCTGCAATTTTATTTCACTTTCAAGTGAAATTTTGCTAATACCAACCTAAAAAAATGCAGGCTACATCGACGCTTTTCATATCTGGTCTCTCAATAATCTGCCTTTACGCCTGTCAATACAAAATAATGATCATCTAATGGCACAAAAGCTATTTCACTTTCAAGAAAAGCACCTATTGCGCATGCCCTCGGGTCAGAGAATTTTAACTTTCACAAAAACGTTCAGAATGTAAAACGCGTTTTAGAGGATTACTAGCCAGTGAAATAACCTACAAATTTCTTAGCGCAAATCGCAATTGTACAGATCAGTGCACGGTGCCTTTTTAAGTTAAATTAATGTGCTTGTGCGTTACTTAGGCATTAATACTATTTTAAGGGAATTGTCATTTTATATTTGATGGTAGTAGATATTGCGTAACTTACAGATGATATAAAGTGATATTTCTGCATTAATTAACATTTACATTTCTATTTGATGTAACGTAGGGGCTCGCTGATCACTGCATATTATGCAGATATCCAAGATAACTAATAACTAATTTGTTAATGTGATGACAAATATTTGATTGTTTAGAAACCCTCTGTCAGTCTGATACATTCCAGATTAATTAAGTTTAATAAACTCCAACTCCAACACCTTCCGACTGCAAATGTTGAATGTACAGATATTGGGGAGTATTGTAGTCGTCAAAATTCAAATAAAATATTGACGACAACGAGAAAATCGTCAGATTTTTAATTATACCGACGCACAAATTACACGCCATAATATTGTTACTATATTCGTTGGTTTTATTTTTTAAGCATTTTTTAGTTTTGTAGCAGAAACTTCATTTAATCTAATTCAAAATGTAAAGTTTAAAAATACGAGGGTATTGCCCGAATGTACAAACTTGTTTTGCCGTAATTAAAGCAGGCGCTGGAAATGTCACCTAGAGGAAAGGGAATTTGATATTTTATATTGCAACGTAGCCACAATTAAGAGCAAAATTTTACTCTAAAACCTTGTGGTTTTGGTCAAAATAATTTTTAATTATTCCACGCCAGCGCCTGGTTTAGGTATGATTCTTTCAAGTCAGTAGTTACCCTAATGTGTTAAAACTTTTAGTTTGTAAAATCAAAAATAAAGCCAACTCGTCCTGCCATCTTCTTTCACAACCCAACCCACCTACCAAGCAACCGGTGCAGTTTCCTCAAAGTTCTTACTAGTAGAACATTGATACTATCACCACTACTTTTTGTGACGTCACAAGGTCATGGCCTTAGTAAGGGGATTTCTCAAGTTTTGGTTGTTGTCTTGGTGAAAGGGATTACACATTAAAGATCCTAAGATTTCCAAAGAGTAAGCAGTTTTTCACAATGTCTCATATGAAGTGTGTTCTTGTCAAATGTTCCGGGGTAAAGGTCTCCCAAACGGATCTCCGGGTGAGGGCTGCAGGATATTGCGCTTTAGGTACGAAAAAGAATAATAGCAGGAGGAGAATAGCTACTTGCAATGTGCGAACCTTATTGCAATGTAGAAAGCTAGAAAATCTAATTTTGGAAACGAATGAAAATTGATTTGCTAGGAATAAGTGACTTCTGGAATTATTGTGTGATTCACACGGGCTACATTGAAGGAAGACCCGGTACAGGTAGGATAAGTAAAGATATGGGACAAAGAGTTACCGCTTATGTGTATGCGGTAGTGATAGAAGGGAAAGAGGACATGCTAGTGGGGCGTCTGGCCTTGGCGAAAGGAATGATAGAGGAGATGGTAGAAATATGCATACAGCGCCAATTAGTGGTATGCAACACATGGTTTAATCATGCGGGGCATCATGGAAAGCTCCAGGTGATAGACGTAAGACGAAGGTACCAGAACGATTATATTCTAGTCAAGAATTTAGAACACTTAAAAAAAAGACTGCACAGATTTTACAGAGCCAGATGTGGGTCATAATTTAGTGCTAGATGTGACCTCAAAACCAAAAGACTGTAAAGGACAGCTAGTCACAAATGGTAGAGATTAAAATCGGAAGAAGTAAGAGAGGCCTATAGCGAAAAGTCAAACATATCGGTAATCACAAGAATAGAAGATATAGAGGAAAGATGGTTGAACTTGAATGCTAATATGATAAAAACCGCAGAAACAGAAATAAGTCGACATAAAGCACATACTAGAATAACGTGGATAACAGAGGAGATTATTGAGAAAATAGAGAAGGAGTTGAAACAATACCATACAGTCGAAGGAAAAGGAAAGTACAAAGCAATAAGAAATAAAATAAATACGGATACACAACAGGCAAGCAATAAAAGGTATTTGGAAGACCGTTGTAAGGAAGTGTATGTGTTAATGAAGGCGGGAAAAAGAGAAGGCATTCAAAATTATTAAGTAGTTTTTTAGAAAAGGTAGGACAAGGTGCAATAATCCACTAATTTGTTCACATTCGCTGGAACAACCTAGTTCAAATTTAAGGCAAAATAAACGAAAAAATAAGTACTATACATGCAAAATGACACCATCAGATCAGAGAACGACAAAAACTATCAAGGTCTGTCCAAATTAAACCAATGCGAATACATTCTAAACAAAAAACGATGTTTTTTTTCTAAATGTCAGGCTTTCTTCAGCGTAAAATTAGCAATTAATAAAAGGGTTTAATAGTTTTTCTCGAATTGTCATAACAAACCACCAACACTTTAAAGTGTACCTAAGAATTACTGCAATTTTCCTTACATTTTATATCCTAAGCAAAAAATCTTAAAGTTCAGTATTTCGATGAACAACAAGTCCTGTCTGTTTGATTCAGTATCGTTCTCAATCTCCAATTTTCTTACTTCTTACATTGCTTACTGAACTGGTTTTCTTTTGCCACTACTTTTTTTGCTTCTTTGACATTCAGATTATGCATATCACATAACTCTTGTTCTACTTTTATCACTGATCCCTATTTTATATATTTACTTCCTTTACTTTCTTAACCAAATTACTATGTATTTTAATATTTAATTTCACGTTGTAGCGCACTTTTGCGATGTACAATACAAGAGAACCCCTAAAGACTCTTATACATCTTTTGTTAGTGCAGAAAATCAATTTGTAAGTAACTGCGCTCTCTTTTTATAAGATACGGGCGAAATAAGAAAAGGGGTCAAACTTTCTGAATAAATTACGATATATTTGTAACAAACCTTGTAAGAATGTAAATGTTTGGCGTTTGTGCGGGTTACCGGCGGTAGCTTTCCATATTTACTCATTTGAGAATAAAACGACCAAACCTTCTTTTGCATTTATTCCACGAGGTATTAGTTTTATGGTAATAGACAATGATGTAACTTGTTTTAAAAACATAAAGTCGACCGTAGGAGCTTTATCCCTTATTCCTTGGAATATGAAATGGCACGCAGTTAGTTTCGAGTTTTCATATTCCCAAATGGAAAAATGATTGAAAATCTCGATATGTTTTTTACCGATTGTTTTCATCCATTCCGCACAAAGACTTTTTGCTTTCGCGTTACTTATATGTCGGCGAGAAATGCAAATATTTTGTTTCATCCCCGAAGCGCGAACTGATAATTTTCTAAGGGATTTTGGCAAGATCCAACCCAAAAACTTATAGAAGCTGTGTAGAGGCGGGGATATCTTATCTGTCAACAAGAACGCCAGAAAAGAGAACGTTATGAAGCGTTCAACTGCTGATAGCACGAACACAATTTCGCTAGTCCAATGAACTTGCAACTTCTTATCAATTTTCTCCGCCAAACTTGCGATTATCTTTAAAATTGATATTCAAACTTATCCCTTTACGAGCTTCACCAATTGACTCTTTACATAACTTTTAACTTTTTGTTTACGTGACAAACGTATCCAACTACTTTTACAAATTTACCGCAAAAAAGCGCGACGATGATAAAAAAAGCTACTTAGGATGCGCGAAGGAGGTAAGATGAATTCGTGCAAGACGTCAGCTGTACCTGCTCGATTTTTTATAAATAAATACAAACGCAACCCTTCCTGATCAATCGTGCGTTATAATAATAAAAGAAAGAAATTCGGTACTAGTCAAACGGTGTAGCGAGTCCAATTCCAAGCAAATTTTCTGGTTTCAGAATAAGCTAATTACATAGCTAATTCAGAATAGTAATCGGCGCTTCGTTTACGTCAATAATCAGTAAAATTTCTGCATTATTTCTTAATTTATACACATATTAGTCTTCTGCTTACCGTAAGATTCCTTAAACGAGAAACTGTCAACCGTTACAGTTAAAAAATCTCGCATTACAAAAATTATTGTTACGAAAATAACTATTATGTCCGACTGATTGATAAAGGTCTCTTTATGGTATACGGTATACTTTTGCGGCCATAAAGTACCTATCTATAGTACTAGTACTATACACTACCTATTGTTTATTGTTATAATAATTTGTGATATTGATAACAGAGTTATTGTTGCCACAAATAATACTCATTCCAACAAATTCTTTGCTTTCTTATACCGCAGCACTTCAAGTGCGTTCTTGGTATTCGACAGCAATGCCATTACAAGTCTCTGGTTCCTCACGAGGTTCCTCATGAACTATTTTACCAGATTTGTCTTGTTGTCAGTTAAAAATACAATTTATGTTTGGGAACATGATTATGACAGACAATGATAGCGTTATAGGTACATGTGTAAAGATAGTAAACGAGGTGTTTAGTCTAAGAGCGAATACTGCACTGTAAGGTTTGAACGCTCAAAGATTACTTTTCGTGGCCACGGTTTTTTGAACTAGCCTGAACTTAATATCGAATCTAATAGCAAATATACGGCACTATTTTCACAGTTCACCTAAAATATATTCATAAATGAATCCACTAAATTGGAAGTTCTTTTTAGTGAAATTTAAATGAACCAACTTAATATGAAAAACTGACTTATTCTATTATCTAACGAATCCAATGTAGTGGGTTTCCAAATGGTAAAATACATGAATATCAAAACGGCTTCAAATGTTTTTTCTTACTTCAAATATAATTTACGATGTTTTTCTTAAAGATTACCTCATATAAGACGATTCTTTTGTAGAAGACGATTTTGATAGAAAATTAGACTGGATTAAACCCTCCTTACAGCTACTTCTTCGGTGAATTTTCAAATGATGCCAATGGTCCCTGGGAGTAGTTTTTTAACGGTGAATCCTAGCGGTTAATAGTTACGGGCCAGCTACAATTTTGCGAGTGATTTCCGACTGGAGCCGTGTCGTGTTTTTATTTTAATTTTTTTACTTCGTTTCTTTTCTTGTCCTGATGAAGTCCCTTACGAAGGTGGGTCTTAATTACTCTGGCCGTGGAACTCTGACAAGCCACAATTTTATTAACACAGAAGTTTGGTGCCAACGAGATTTACGAAATCAAAACATTGTTTATTTTATCCCAAAACAAGAGAAATCTTTACTAGGTAACAATTTTGCACTTTTTACTACTATGAAGATTGAGTTCAATATCCCCTTTGGTTTGACGGACAGCAAACAACTATACTAAATTTTAACAATAGCTATTTATGATAACGAAAATATATTGGCGCGCTTAATTAGTTTACTCTTGACCGCGTGCGGTTCTTATAATATAATATAATCCTTATTTTTTGCATAGATGAGACAAAGACGTTAGAATTAATTATCATCAACGCTTTTAACTGTAACTA